TTTATCAATGTGTTTTGGTGTGTTTTGTGTACATTGATTTTGATTGTAAAAAAAGTATGTTTTTTTGGTGTTATATAGACACAAATAATAATACACACATGAATTAAACATTTAGCAAATAACCATTTTTCTGATTCAATTCAATTCGGTTATTCTCTCTTTCTCTCTCTGTGTGTTTACTATGTGTACTCTTTGTGTGTGTGTAAATCTTTAGATTCTTAAGATGACAACAACATTTTTTTTTTTTTTTGATGACTACGACTAATAGGAAATGTAAGAAAGAGCAGATAGAAAGAGACAGAGAAAAGGAAATGGAAACGAGAAAATGATGATATCATTTGTTTGGTAATGTTTTTTCTGTGTGTGTGTGTGTGTGTGTGATCCATACACCACATTTATATTTGATTCAAACATACTAATTGATTCAAAATGTGTTGTTTGTCTCCGTGTGTGTGCGTATGTGTTTTGTTTGTTTGTTTGTTTTTTTTGTGTAGAATTTCGATGGTTAAAATACGTGTACAATTCAAAATAGATTATCGTTGTTTTTTCTTTGTCCTTTATTCGATTATCGGCTGTTGTTGTTGTTGTTGTTGTTGTTGTTGTTGTTGTTGTTGTTATTGTTGTTGTTGTTGTCAAATCAATCTATCTAAAATGTTTTTTTCTTCTTCTTCTTCTTGTTTGGTGTTAATCATCTAATTGTATTTTCTATTTTTTATAATTGATTAAATTGTCCAATTGTCTTTTTTTTTAATTTTCTCTTGATAATCATTCACATTGTCTCGGTTTTTTATGTGTTTTATTTTTCATTAATTTTTCAAGTAAATTTTCTTTTTTGTTGTTGTTGTTGTTGTTGTTTTCCAAGAAAAAAAATGATCGATTATTGATCACCGATGATTTTTGATCAATTTCCAAAAATTCCATTATCCACTCACTAGTCTTCATCATCATCATCATCATTATTATTATGCAAAAAAAAATAGAAAAAAAAAAAAAAACGTGGTAAAAAGCTACCATCACTACTACTACCGGTAAAGAATCATCGTCAGACAGAAGAAAAAAAAAATAGTGAATGATGGTGATGATGATGATGATGATGATGATTAATCAATATATATCTTGTTTTGTTTTTAATATATGACAACAACAGGATCAACTAATTGATGTTAATCATAGTTGTCATTTTGTCTAGTTCACACACACACAGACAGAAAACAACATCGACAACCGAAATGTTTTTTTTTGTATCCAATCCATACAGCAACAGCGTAGCATCGGAAAATTTGTTTTTTTTTTCATATTGAATGTGGAGAAAAAAAAATTCTCTCATTCATCGTCATCGTTATTTTTGGATTCTTTTCGATTTGAATTCGATGGATTCTCTCTTTCTCCATGTTTTGGAAACAAGAATTTTTTTTTTTATTTATTTATTACTCAAGTTCAACAAGCGCTCGATTATTTATTCCTGATATATACTAAATATATATGTTCATGTGTAGGCGGGTGGTTTTTTTTTAAAGTCGTTGATTCGTTTTTTTTGGTGCGAAATGTAAATTTTTTGTTTAATTCTTCCTTGATGATGATGATGATCATGATCATCGATCATGAATGATTATCTGTCCGCCTGTTTGTTGTTGATCGTCATTTTTTTTGTTTGTGTGTATGTCTGTGTGTCTGTGTGTGTGTTCAAGTTTGTTTGTTACCATCAACAAAACATTATTTGACAGCATTTCTATAGTCCAGAAAAAAAAAGAAAAAAAAACATGGCGTAAATGAAATGAGAAACATTTAATAACATAATGTATGTGTGTGTGTATGTGTGGTCAATCATCATGTTCCAACAACAAAAAACGAATATAGAGTATTCATATATCAATCAAGTAGTGTAGTCGTCATTTGTCAATCTTGTTTGTTATCATGATAATGATAATGATGATGATTACACACAAGTAATTAAATTGAATGTAATTCGTGTGTGTATGGGATTCTGTTATGTTAAAGATTTATGTTTTGTAAAAGCCCTTTTTTTGCAGACATTGAAAATACACGACTGGATCAGTCATTATCATGATGATGAAAGGAATAATAGAATAGAATGAACAGTAATCGATGAAAATTTGTTGATTTTTGTGTGTGTGTGTGTACGAGACATTGAGTTTTTTTGTCATCACACACTATTTGGTTAATAGTTTCAACGAGAAACTTTTTTTTATTAAATTTTATTTTAACGAAAAGTTTCTCTTAGATCCATATGTGTGTGTGTGTGTGTATCATCATTTTTATATATGAAAAAAAAATTTACTTTTCTTAATAATAATAATCATCATCATCATTATTATTATTAGTAGTAGTAGTTGTAGTAGAGCAAAGATGAAGATGATGATGATGAAAAAAACAAGTTTTATCGAATTCATAATAACCAACATCAGCAGCATCAGCAGCAGCAACCGAAATATAGTAATAATAATAATGAAAAACGAAAAATTTTTTTTTTTGGGTTTTGATTTGCTGACACACACACATAGAAATAGAGAGAGAGACAGCTGTTGTATGTAAGTTTTTTTTTAGGTTTCCAATATATAACTATTACACATGAATATATAAAAATTACTTTTGCAAGTAAGCAACCAAACAAGCATAGACAGACAGATAGACAGACAGGCAAGCAAGCAAGCAAGCAAAGAGTTTTTTTTATTCCCAAACAGAATTCCAGAATGTCGTGTTGCTTCGAATTCTCTCACTGTTTGTGTGTGTGTATCAGAGTTAGATTGAGAGAAAAACCTATTCTAGTGGAAAAAAATTAGGTGCATAGCTTGAATTATATGCATATTATACTGGAATTTTTATTCTGGTCCTTTTTTTTCTAAACATCATCATCATCATCATCATGTGATGCGCACAAATAAATATATTAACCGTGTGTGTGTGTGTGTGTGTGCAAGTGTGTAAGGCTTCCTGCATTTTTCATGTTTTCATTCATGTCCATTTTCGTTTTATTTTTTATTTTTTTTTTTTTTGGTTCTATCACCAGAATTATTCACGATTATAATATGATCAAAAATATAATACACACACGCACACATTTTTTTCTGGTTTTCATTTCATTTTGTTTTTTTTTTTTTTGGGGAATTTAAGACACAGTGTATGTTACACATTGATATATAATAGGTTTTATTCAGCTTAATCACAAACACACACACACATATGGATGAAAATCCACATGAACGTTAAAATTGTAATTAGTCATCATTTTGTTGTATTTGAATGATTTAATTTCTGATTCTGTTTAGAACGCCACTGAACAGAGAGAGAGAGAGATAGATTGGTGATTATTCATTTGGAATTTTGTTTGCCATGTTTTTTGTGTGTGTGTGTGTGTGTGTGTGTGGTGATGAAAAATTAAAATCAATTAATCTGCGAGATACTATTGAATTTTGTGTGTTTTTGTAGATAAATGAGAGTTTACAAAAAAATATCAAAAACTCGTGTCACACAACATAACTAGACCGAAACGAGACTTTATAGAATAATTCATATTTTGTATTGTGGTATTATTATTGTCAATAAAAAAAGTAGGACTGAATTTTCTGGAAAAAAAAAAAAATTCTTAATTTTATCATTGGTTGTCTCTACTATATATATATTCTACTTGTCTAGACTTTTTTTTCTAGATTCTATTCTGTGACATTTTCTGATTGTTATATGTCATCATCGACTATGATGATGATGATGACGATGACCAAAGAAGATTCTGTCATTCTAATATCTCTTTTTCTATTATTATAATATATTTGGCTCATTCTTTATTCATTTTTATCTTTTCGTTATATTTTTTTTTATTCTGATTCTTGGCTCTATTCTATGATTATCATCATCATCAACGACAACAACAGCAACGACAACAGCAACAGCTTTAGTTTTATCGCAATTAAAAAAGAATTTCCTCTTTTTTTTCTTTTCATTTTATCTACGCTCTATCTAATGCTAGCTAGAAAATGAAAATAAAACGTTTGTTTCGGTGTGTCAGTGAATCAGTGAATCAGTGAGAGCATTCCATATTTTTTTTCTTCTTATTCAGTCTTTTTAATATTCTCTCTAGAGACAGAATACATTCGTAATCATCATCATCATCATCAATGATGATGATGATGATGATGGAAATATGATTAAGCAATTGCTTCAATGATGATGATGGTGTTTTTATATGGTAATAATAGTAGTTGAAATGAAATGAATTGAAAATGGAATGAATGAATGAATGAAAAATTCTTTTTCCATTTTTTTTCTCGGAATATTTTCATTTGATGATAACATTAATGATGACGATGATGATGATAAAAATACTTGACTTTTAAATACTGAATAATCTGAATCTTTCAATCATCACCACACATACAGAGTTCAAATGGTAAATTTTTAAAGTTTTTTGCCATATCTTAGAAAAAAAAATACATGGAACATCAACTTTTTCTTCTCTTATTTCAAGAATTCTGATTCTGATTCTCTTTTTTTATAGAAAAAATCCACATTTATGTGGTTCATTACTTTTTTCATGTCTATGTATACAATTGCGATTCTGGTTTTTATATAGTTTTGCCTATTTTTTTTTTGTTCTGTTTTCCGCACAAGAATCATTCACTTGTCATTATATACTATTCTCTACTCTATTCTGGTGACGACAAACAAAAGCGGTCATTGTATTCACTGTAAAACAGAATAATGCTGTTGGTGGATTCTTATTTCATGTGTTTGAAGAATTTTTGTAATTTTACACACGTTATTTATATTTATATATATTAATTGATTTCTTGTTCTATTTTTCTTTTTTTTTCTTTCTTACAAACAGAATTTTTTTTCAACCCACAAAATTAGTTTTATATTTGGAATTTGGAAATTTGAAAAGAAAAATTATCAATTTTTGTTATTATCATCATTGTTATATACATATTGATTGACTTTTTGTTTTTTTTTATTGATATAAATCAATCAATCAATTGATTGATTGATTGATAATAATAATAATTGGACGATATCAATAGAAAAAAAAACACGTACAAACTTAAATATGAATGTAGTACAAAAATCATCATCATCAACAACATCATCAACAACATCAACATCATCACAATCAGAAATGGCTAATAATAATAATAATACAACAAATTCAATCGTTGGCATTGGTGGTGTTGCTGCCACTGGTGCTAACGATTCTGTAGCCGGTAATGGTGGCAATGTAAATGTTATCAGCCAACAACAACAACCATCAGTAACGTTAACAATTCGTTTAATTATGCAAGGAAAGGTAATGATGATGATGATGATGATGATGAATAAGCTACAGAATCAAACATTTTTGTTTATCGATTTTTCTTTGTTTTTTTATTTTGTAGGAAGTTGGAAGTATAATTGGTAAAAAAGGCGATAATATTAAAAAATTTCGTGAAGAGGTTTGTTTTTTCTGTTTGTTTATGTTTGTTTTAAAAATTCAATTTTTCCGTTTGTTTGTTTGTTTGTGATGTGTTTGTATTGTAGAGTGGTGCAAAAATAACAATTTCGGATGGTTCATGTCCAGAACGTATAGTGACCGTAACTGGATCAACTGAATCAATATTAAAAGCATTCGCAATGATTGCACGTAAATTTGAAGAGGTAATGATAAAAAAAATAAGTTATTGAATAATGGATTTTAAAATTTAAAATTTTTTTTTAATTTTATTACTGTAAAAATAAAGGATGCCAACAACAATAGTAACAGCACAATGGGTACAAATTTTAATATTTCCAACAATACAATGGCAACAACAACATCATCAACAGTAACAGCAATTGTTGTTGGCCAAAATGGTAAACAGAATTCAATTTCAATGCCAGTTACATTGAAATTGATTGTACCAGCAAGCCAATGTGGATCATTAATCGGTAAAGGTGGATCGAAAATAAAAGAAATACGTGAAGTATGTGAATTGGATAAATGTTTTTTGTTTTTTTTTTTTGTTTTTAACTTAATTTTTTCTTCTCACTTCAATCGATTAATAATAGATCACCGGTGCCAGTATACAAGTTGCAAGTGAAATGTTACCAAATTCAACTGAACGTGCTGTAACATTATCCGGTTCAGCCGATTCAATAACAAAAAGCATCTATCAAATTTGCTGTGTTATGTTGGAGGTATGTTTCTGTCTTTCTGTCTGTGTGTGTTTTTTTTTTTTTTTTGTTATTCCAACTAATTTCCATTATTGATTAACATTGGAAAATCTTTTGTTGTTGTTGTTCTGTTGTTGTTGTTGTTATTTTCAACATCCAATTACAATAGATGCAAAATATATACTATGCAATTTAGCTGCAACCAGAAAAATAAAAAATAGAAAAGCAAAACCATTTTATTTCCGTTTTTTTTTTGTTTTCCCGGGAATTTTTCCCGTTTCTCTCTCACTCTCTCTCACACACACAAACACATATTCTTTATCATTTAGGATGAGAGTAAAAAAAAATTAATTAATATTACGTCCAAAATGTACAAGAGAACGAACGAACGAAAAAAATTGCCAGAATAATAATAATAATAATGCTCTTGTGAATTTTAATTCATTCTTTTCATTCCATTCCATCCATACCACTCAACGAACATCAATGCAAAGCTTTTATTAAATGAAGTATTAGTAGTAGTAGTAGTAGTAGCAGCAGTTGATAGTAATAATTAGTATTCAAAGAAAAAAAACAAAACAAAACAAAAAAACGCTTTAATTATCATCAAATGTATGTATATATGGACATAGACACAGATAGAGATACAGAAAAAAAAAAAAGAATGCAGAATAATGATGCCTTCAACACTTTTATCATTCATCATACACACACACACACACACAAGCATCGATACAATTTTTTCGAGCTAGCAACAACAACAACAACAACAACAAAAATGAAATGGCAATTCAATCGCCAAAAAAATATTTGTATTAATCTTGAAACAGAACAAAACAAAACGAAGAAAAAAATTATCATCACTATCATTTAACCCTTTATTTTTCTGTTTACAATATGTGTGTGTGTGTTTTTCCATTATATATTAGCCTAGAATAATTTGTATGTGTTTCAAAATTCATTGTAGTGTTAATCTTTTTATATATATTTGAAACATTTTTCATGTATGTTTCTGTGTATGTGTGTGTGTATAAATCCTTTGAGAAATCTTGAGAAGAGAAGAAAAAATTCTATGTAGAATATTCGCACACACACACACACACACAACGTTAGTTGATTAGAATTAGAATTACATACATAAGATGGATAAGATGAACAACAACCAGAATTTCCGTATTTTTTTGTTCCCAACCTTTCCTTCCCCCCCACGTTATCATCGTTTTATTATTATTCTTGTTTCTGGTTATGTTTGTGTGTGTGTGTGTGTGTAAAAGAGCCAGTTTAATATATATATATACATTCTGCATCCATGAACAATTCGAATAGATTCTCGTTTTTTAAAAAAAGATATATTTCCTGTTTTTGTATGTGTATATGTTTCTAAATCTAATGGCTATTTTTTTTCATTTTCATTTTTCTTTCCTCTATATTTTTTTTTTCGTTTCGTTGCATCAATATCATCATATACCTATACAACGTTTACGTTTGGATGATCATGGCGTTTATACTTGGTGCTGTTTTCTGGAAAATTTTTTTGTTGTCAAAAAAAATTGGAAAATGGATTTCTCATTCCGTCTGTGTTTGTGTGTATAGTCACCACCAAAAGGCCCTACCATTCCTTACCGTCCTAAGCCTGCAATGCCGCCGGTGTTTTTTGCTGGTGGACAAGCATATACGATACAGGGACAATTTGCAATTCCACATCCAGATGTAAGTAATATTTTCATCATCATCATCATCATAAATATAATAATAATAACATATATATCTGATTGAAAAAACCAGTGTGTGTGTGTGTGTGTGAAAATAAAAAAGGAAGGAAGAATATGAAAAAAAAGAATATTCTTCATCTCTTTTTTATTTCGGTCATTTTCAATATTTGAACTTTTTTCTTTTTTTTTTATATATATAAAACTTCTTTTCGATGTTCGTCATGTGTGTGTGTGTGTTCTGTGTTGTATAAAAAGAATTTTTCATTTTTTTCATTTTTTTTTTTGCTTATTCTGGTCAAGAATAAGAATAAGAGAGAATTTCAAATGCAGAGATTTTTTTTTTCTTTTTCATCCATCCATCTTTGCTATCTATTTGGTGGAAAAAAAATATTTTAATTTTCTTTTCTCTTGTTGATTGTTGTTCGTAGTCCACACACACATACACCGCGATACTGTGTGTGTGTTCACATTGTTTTCTATAAGATTCTTTCTTTCTTTTTTTTTTTGGTTCGTTTCACATATACTATTTGTTGATAATTGGATGACAATTAGTTTGCCTGGCTGAATCGGATTCTTGTAGTTGTGTATCCATATCTGTATAATGAAATGGTGGTGATGAAGGGAAAAAAAATGGAAGAATGATTTCGAGAATGCCATCTTGTTATTTGTATTCACACACATACACAGAATAACAGAATATTTTTATTTTATGTAGAATGGAACATACACACACACATTTATATATGTTGATTCTTCACTACTTTTAATTCTGCACATAAAAAAAACACACACACACACATACATCAAATGTTTCTCGGTTAGTATATGGATAATATAGAGTCAAGTGTCGTCAATTTGATTTTTATCGTTCGTTTTTTTTTTGTATTTTCGTTGAATCCAAATATAATTGGATGGACCATCGCTTTTTATCATCATCCATTACATTATTTTTTTTTTGTTTTTGTTTTTGTACATCATACATTTGATCGATTCGTTTTCGATTGATAAATTAATGATGATGATGATGATGATCTTAGTGATGATGATGGTAAAGTGAACTTTTTTTTTCTTTTACTTTCTCAATTGATTGGTTTTATAATATAGTAGCTTAGAATGAAATCTAGATTTGTGTTTTTTTTCTCTTTTGGTTTATTTTTGTCCATTAATTTGAACAAAAAAAAATTCCGCTATGAATTTTTATCCATCATTGAAATGAACAAACAAACATTTTTAATTAGTATTGGTCCACTCGTTAATAATGATAATGATAATGATGATGTTACGAATATGACCAATGGTGAAAAGAAAATTTTAAGTACAAAAAAAAAACTTTAAATTCCGTTCTCAGTGTATGCGATAGAGAAGTTCTTTTACTCTTTCTCTCTTTAGTTTACCAATTAGTTTTTTTTTTTTTTTTTGGATTCTCAATCGATCCATCGAAAGTTTTATATTTTTTGATTGTACCAAATTTTTCCACGTTTTGATGAAGAGGAGAATATAAAGCATTACTGTTTGTTTTTTTTTCTTTTTCTTGGAAATAAAAAGAATCTGTTATGCAGCAGCAGCAGCAGCAGCAATCAATCGAGTCAACAATTTGAAACTTTTTTTTTCCTTTTTCATCTTGTTGTTGTTGTTGTTGTTGTTGTTGATATTGTTGTTGTTGTTGACGAAAAAAAAATAAATTTAAAATTACAAAGTTCTGTTTAATGTGTTTTTTTCGGGTTGTTTTTATTCAAAATTATTCTGATGATCAAAATTTATTCATGAATTTTTTTTTCATTCACTTTCTCTTTTTTTTTTTCTTTCAAATTTAAATTCTTTTTCTCTTTCTCTCTCTCTCTTTCTATCTCTCGTTTGACCTTTATTCTTGATAATTTCCCAATTCTTTTTTTTCCAAAACAAAAAACAAACTAAACAATCCCTTTTTTGATATCGATGATTTGCATGTTTTCCAAATTTCGTTTCGAAAAAAAAAAAATTACCTTTTACCACATATTATCATTATATATCATGTGATGATTACCTTGAATCGTTTGAAATAAACCTTTATTTTTCTGAATGAAAAAAAAACTTATACCTTGAAAAAATCCGAAAAAAAAAAATCAATAAAATAAAATTAGGCCTTTAATGCACAACCACCACCACCAACCATATCATCACCATCTGCATCATATTTTGATACAGCAGCACATTCTTGTGCATTACAGCATCAAGCTGCTGCAGCATTATTAAGTCAACATTTTAATCAATTAAATCAGCTTAATTCACATAATAATCATCATCATCATCATCATTTACAACAACAACAACATCATCATCATCATCATAATAATCATAGTAATCATCATCCACATGGAACAACAACGAATTCAAGACAATTAACGAATCCATCACAACAACAACAACAACAACAAACACATTTTCAACCATTACAACAACATCCATTATGTTCATCATCATCATCACCACCATTACAAAATCAAATATTGTCATCATCATCATCATCATCACCTGTTAATCATAATGCACAGTTAATCTTTAGTGGTAATAGCGGTAATGGTCATCATCATCATCATCATCAAGGTGGAATTATTGACCATCATTCATCATTATCATTACCACCACCACCACCACTATTATCACATCAACAACAATCATCGGCGACAGCACAACAAACAATATCATCATCATCATCTTCATCATCATCAAATGGTGGTGGTGGTGGTGGTGGTGCTACTACTAGTATTATAAATCCATCACATCATACATTTCTCGATTTATCATCGGCACAATATTCACCTGGATTTGTAAGTGTGATTTGTAATTCAAACCGAAAAAAATGATGTAGAAACCAAAATCCAAAAAAAAAAAAAATCATTAAACGACATTGTTGTTGTTGTTGTTGTTGTTGTTGTCCGTTTGTTGTTTATTTGTTTATATATATTTGTTATATGTAATCCTTCATCGGTCCTGTCGATCTATTTATCCACCACTGAAAAAAAATCATCAACCAATCGAGCCATTCAACCAACCAACCAACCAACCAACCAACCAACCAAAAACAAAACGGTCCATCCATCTATCCATCCATTTACAATCAACCAAAAATTCATTACCATTATTATGATTTTGATATGATGATGATGATTATGTCTTGTGTATGTCGTGTGTGTGTGTGTGTGTGTTTTGAGCGTGTGATTTGAGTCTAATCAATAGTAAATGATGCATGGTATATATAGATGTAAAAAAGGGCGTTTCATATTTTTATTACCACCTATTTTTTTATACTTGACTTTAAAAATTAAAAATTTTTAAGTGCCAATCACACATACATACACACACACACCTATTTCAACCAGACACACTCACTTAGTATTGACGAATATCGAATTTTAATTTAAATTTTTTTTTTGTATTGATTTTTAATCCATTTCAATATATATTTTTTTATATATATGCTAATCAATATTGATCAATTTCGTTTTTTTTTTTTTTTCTTATCATTTTGCCATGAATAATTCTCTCATCATCAATACCACCAATCGACCAACCAACCAACCAACCAAACAACCATTTATTCAACCTAAAATTACAACCAACCAACCAATCAAAAAAAAAAACCTGAACCTGAAAATCAATTTTGAATTCCAAATAAAAACAAACAAACAAAAAAACTTTTGGGTCAAAAATTCTTGGCAACAAAAAAAAATTGAAAAAAAATCATACACACACACACAAACACGAAATAAAGCTCACAAAGCTTCATAGATTGGCATTGCAGCATGCTCCTCTCCTTCCTGGACAGGCCGTTGGCTCCCTGAATCCCCAAGGTATTATTTATTTTCATTTTTTTTTTGAATTTTTGTTTTACATTTTGCTTCCGGTTGCTTTGTTTTTGTTTTGTTTTGTTTTGTTTTAGTGTTGTAGTTGTAGTTTTGTTTATAGCCATTCCTAATTTGCATCATTTTTTTTTTGATTTTTTTCAATTACAACTTATCAATAATTTGGTTGATATATTTCATTTGTTTTTTTTTCTCATTTTCATTGAATATATTCAAATAGCAACATTGGCCACATTGGCAGCAAACACAACCGCTTCTTTGGGCCACCACGGCAATACCGCCGCCACCAATCCAGGAATGGTCCCTACTCTCACCACCGAAATGACTATTTCCAATGATATTATCGGTTCAGTGATAGGTAAAGGTGGTTCGAAAATTAATGAAATCAGGTAATTTAATTGATTTTTTTTTTTGGATATTTGTTGGATGAATCAAATATTTCATTTTGCTTTTAATATAGACAATTATCCGGTGCAACAATTAAAATCAATAGCAGTGAAGAAGGAACAAAAGATCGTACCATTACAATAAGCGGTACACCTGAAGCAATCAATCTGGCTCAATACCTCATCGCAACAAGGTAAATTTCGTTTTACCTTTGCCAAATAAATAAATAATTTATTCCATATATTCCAATTATAATGAAAAAAAAATCACATAACAGTTTTCATAATCAAATTTCATTTTCAAATTTTAGAAATATGATTTTTACACACACACACACACACACATACCAGACAAAGATTTTAAAAAAAATTTTTACATATAAAAATCAAAATTATTTTATCAATCAATTTTTGTTTGTTTGTTTTTTTTTTCTCATTCTCGCACACTTGCACACACAAACAAATTTTTTTTTTGTTCACTTTCAGTATTGCGGGTTTCGTTTTACAATTTCGAATGTCTATTGTTTTTTTTTTTTTTTTGAAAATTCATTTTAATAATTTGATGATTCCATAACCAGAATAATAATGACGATGATGTTGATGATGATGATGATGAGAATTCAATCAAGAATTGTGTGTGTGTGCGTGGTTTTTTTTTTTTAGTTTTTTTCTGAATTAAATTCTGTTTTATTTTATACAAATTTTTTCGATTCTTGATTCTTGATTCTCGATTCGATTTGATTGAATGAAAAATTTAAAACTAATTAATTTGATTGACCAATCATTTTTAATTGCTGATTTTTTTTCTTTTTTTTTCTTTCTTTTTTTTCATTTTCATCTTTCTGTCCAATTGAAAAAAAAAACCAACCATATACTACCACCAACCAACCCAACCAACCAACCAACCAAATTCTCTGGTCTTTTTTGAAACAAAACAAAACAAAAACTTCTGTCCGCCTCCTATCATCCAATAATGAAATAATGATGATTTGCCAAATTAAACAAATAAAAAACCTCCAACCAACCAACAAACAAACAAAAAAATCTCGCTCACCAACCAACCAACCAACCAACCTTTGCCACCAAAAAAAAACAAACTCCGACTTTGTCCACGATCCATATGATTATCTACGAAAAAATAAACTATGAAAATTGGCCCGATTGCCTTCACTTTGTCCATCTTTCATTCATTCACTCACTCAATCTATTTTTTTCACTTTATCATTCTACTCTTTCTTTTTCTGAAAAAAAAATTTATCGATAATCATTCCATTCATCATAACACTTGTATTTTTATTCTTTTCTGTTGCAATTTGTCGTTGTTGTTGTTGTTATTGTTGTTGTTATGGATTGAAATGGATTTATTGATGAAAAATTTCCATCAAATATAGTAGTAATGGTTTATTGAATAGTGCCGGAACAACAACAACAACAAATCAATCTGCTCATCATCATCATCATCATCATCATGCTGCTGCGGCTGCCGCTGCAGCCGCATCAACATTATCGGCAACAACCGGTGCAGCAACAAATTCATTAACAGCAATGGCAGCTGTTGCGGCAGCTGTTTCAAATAATGCTGCAAATAAATTATATCATGCAACAACAAGCAATCTATCTAAACATAATATTCAATCAATAACAACAATTTCAAATGGTTCAACATCTAAATCAAATAAAAATGATCGTAAATATGCACCATATTGATTCAAAACAAAAACAACAACAACAACAAAAAAAACGCGAAACAATTTTTTTTTCAATCCACTAATAAATAAGAAACAAAAAAAAATGAACAACCAAATCAACCACGATGTTTTTCACTTCATTTCTTCTTCTTTTTTTTTGCAAACATACACATCGTCAATCACCATCAACCGATAATATCGATGGGCTTTAATCGGTGGATCAAATATCGTCATTTAAAAAATAATAATAATTGAGAGACGAAAAAAAAATGAAAAATGAAAAAATTTCTATTCACAATTTAATCTTTTACATACATACATACATACACACACACACATAATACACCATGTTTGTGAATCATCAATTTTCTTTTTTTCGTAAAACAAAATACTCATCATCATCATCATCATTGAAACTGTCATAAAATTCGATCCAAAAAAAAACAACCAAAACAACGACAACAACAACAACAACGAAATTTTTTTTTCTCGTTCCTATCTATCTAAAAATTTATCGACAATGAGAGAATGTATATAATCTCTCGTTACCAGAATAAATTACCAGAATTTATGTGTATAAAAAACAAAAAGAAATTATCCACACCTTTCATCACAAACAACAACTAACATACACACACACACACACACAACATATACGTAAATTTCTCATCATCATAATCATCATTATGGTAGCATCATTTTATTTGTGCAATGAGATATTTATTGATCATTAATTGATTGATTGATTGATTAATATATCATCATTATGATTAATTAACCAAATATATTTAATATTATTATTATAAATGGTATAATTATATAGGTAATTATTATTATTATTATTATTATTCACATACATTGAACACATACACCCACACACGGACACGTCCACATACACACATTATCTATGGATACAATATGGCAAGATATTTATGAATTGCAAACTGAATTTTTTTTTCTCTCTGTGTGTGTGTGCGTGTGTTTTTTTGTGAATCAGTTCAGTTTTTATTCATTTTCTGCTGTTCCAGTAATAATATAATATTATTATATGCATTTTAAGAGTGAAATTTTTTTTTTTTACTTTAAATTTCTTTGCATTTTTTTTTTATTGGGGTGATATTATATTAGGTTGGTTTTGATTTTTTTTTTCATTAAAAAAATTTTCTTTGCATTTCAATATAACAACAACAAAAAAAAATATCGAGCTAATTTTCAAAATCAAATTATGATTTTGATTGTGAATAAATTTTTTGTGTGTGTGTGTGTGTGTGTGTGTTGGTGGAATCATCAATCAGCTCATGTTTTTGATTCTGATTCTGATTCTGATGATGAACTTGTCCATTTTTTTTTTTTTGTTATCCAATTTTTTTTCCACTTTTTTTCCTAATCAAAATGATGAATTTCATGAACAAATGATCAATACATAGATAGATAGGTTTTTGTTTGTTTTTTGGAGTGAAAAAATGGAGAAAAAATTTTTTTCTCTTTGCTTATTTTTGTTTGCCTAAATAACAACAACAACAACATGTCCATTCACAATTGTGAAAGATGAAAAAATTTCTAATTTCAACCGAATTATATCCACAACGGATTGATAAACCATATGAAAAATGATTTACACGCAAACAAATACACATACACACACACACAAAAATTGATACATTGAATTCTGAATATTTTTATTTTCATTTTCATTTTTTGTCTGGTTATAAACAAATATTCTGGTTTGAATTCTATATTTTTTTTTTCGTCTCCATCATCACCATACAAACCGGATATACTGCATACAACATGATGATATGATTCTGATGCTTCATTTTGCTTTTGGCTTTTTTTTCATTCTATTATTTATATATACAACAAACAGCCAATATTTTTTTTTTTTTTTTTTTGCAATATTGTTTCTATATTTGTTCGATACACACCACCCACCCACACACACTCATACACACACACACACAGACCAAAACAGCCAGATTTTTTTTTGTTTTGCTTTTGGGCTTATTTCGAAATGATCAAAATCCACCATATATAATTCATTTGTTTTCTCTCTTTTTTTTCACTAATTATTTCAACGAAAAAAAACGACCAAAATAATGAAAAAAAAACAACAACAAAAACTAGATGATGATGATGTAAAAGCGAATTGTTTATCATTGTTTTCATCTTCATTGGCAGAAAACAAAAAAACAAAAAAAAAAAATAATTTACAATCCCTGTGCAATCTATCTATCTATGAGAATGAGAAAAAAAAAATTCTTACTAATTAAAATGATGATAATGATGATGATGATGATGATGATGATTGAATTTATTCTCAATTTCATTTTGATTCAAACCAAATCCAAACACACACACACACACATAAAAAACCAAAACGAAAAACAAACAAATTCAACAGAAAATCTCATCAATCCATCCATTTTATTCATTCACAATCATCATCATCATCATCATTATCGGCATCATTTAGAAATAAAACAAACAAACACAAATATATTAAACTTTAAAACATTATCATCAATTATCATTATCATCATTTTTTTTTTTGTTTAAATTGAAAAATTTTCAACAATAATCAGATCAGAGAGTACAAACCAAAAAAAAAAAAAAAAAAATAAAAAAATCTGAACATTTACCACCACCACCACCATATCATCATTATCATTAATTCATTTTTTTTTCTTGGAACACCTACTAATTAATATTACAAAAAAAACCTATATATACGTTGTTGGAACCACAACCAAAAAAATATGATGAAAACATAAAACTGCAACACACACAGACACAGACAAAAAAATACAAACGAATTTTAAAATACAACATTCGCATCTCATCATCATCATCATTATGATTTTGATTATTGACTCAAACAAATTTTTCAATCTTTCATCAATTTTATTTCTTTCTCCACACACACACACATATATTATGTATATGATGATGATGATGATAATTTATTGATATTTGGATAAATAAATAAATTGGATGAATAAATGATTTATATATATTTCTGATTCAGAAATCTGTCAGTGTCTTCTTCTTCTTCTTTTTTTTCTGGCCATTTTTCCACCCTTTCCGCTTATTAAAATCAGCAATTTTAAAAATTTTTTTTCTTTATAATTTCTAAAAAAAAATTCTCGTTATTCTCGTTATTATTAAAAATTATCATTAATACAGAATCTATTATTCAACACAGCATTACCACCATCATCAGCAGCAGCAGCAATCATCCAAATCACCAACAACAACAACAACAACAACAACAACGAAATCAATAATTTTAGATATTGAAAAACAAATTTCATCATTTAATTCGGGTTACAATTATCATCATCATCAACATCATCATCAGCAACATCATGTTGGCCATCAAAACATATCTTATCATCATCATAATATTTACAATAATCATTGTAATTTACAAATTCAATTAAATAAACGACAACAACAACAACAACAACAACAACCACATCAACAGCAGCCATATGGAACGAATATTAATGGCAATTATCTATCATCATCATCATTGCCATCATAAACAACATTAGGAGAACCGGATGGTAAATAAATTCTATACAACAACAAAAAAATGGGCTATCCATTAAATCTAAAACATCAACATCATCATTATAAAATGAATTTGACAACCTGCAACCATATCATCATCATCATCATCATCATTTGATTGAAACAAAAAAAAAATATTCTTCATCACAGAATAACAGTATTAATAATAATAATAATTTGGATGCATAATCAACAAAAAAAATCATCAGCATCACAATTCATTAATAAATTCATCATCGTCATCATCATCAAATTGCAACAAAAAAAAAAAAAAATTTCATGATGATAATGATCACGAAATTTATTCATCATCATCATCATCACATTCTTCTTCTGTTATTACATTTCTAAAACTTTAACATTAATTAATATATAACGAATTTATAAATCAAACTTGAAATATTAATTTGATTCATCATCATCATGATCATCATCATCGTTATTTAGTAGTGCCAATTTCAATTTTATCGATTTTCTGTATTCTGTTCACCACCAAATAAAATATAATATAATATAACATTATTATGTTTCCAATATGATCAATTATTTTGAAAATTTATTTATCAATCAATTTTGAATTTTTAAATTACAAATCAAAATAAATATATTTCAATTTCAATGTATGATGATTTTTTTTTCATTTGATTTAATGTTATTTTACCGCCCTCTATCCATAGATAAATGGATGGATGAAAGAAGAAAAAGAAGAAAAGGACCATGAAAATAAAAAATGATAATTTGATTCACGTCAAGTTTATTCAGTTATGCGCAGGTCTTTCAACATGATGATTGTATTTGATGATGGTGGGTCACTTATTTCGAGATGCAAATGATTTCAAAATGAACTCAAAAAAACCGATATGAATGATGTTATCATGATGAAAAACTTTCGTTGTGATATTTAATGGCAATCATCATCAAATCACATCTCCCTTGATGATCGATGATGATGAACAAAATGTATAGAACTTTATCATTTCAAATGTCTTGGTTATCATCATTTGAGATTAAAGTCCAATATATCCAAAATAAGCAAAAATCGATATGAAAATCAATGATTAAAGTCAGTAAAAATTAAGAAATACTTTTTGTATCGGCTTTCTTGCCATTGACTTTGTGATTGTCCTTTTTTTATCGTTACCAATCATAATAATAAAAAATGTCTAAATCAATCGACAAGAATTTGAAAACAATCGGTGAATATTTATTCAAAAATGGTCAAATTTCAACTCGATTAAAGGATCAAATTTTTCTGGTTTGTTCATTCATTCATTAATTCATTCATTCATTCATTAATAATTCTGGTTTGATTTATTCTAGACTGAAGCAAAATCAGGAAAACAATTGAAATATGGTCAACTTGAAGATCAATCACATTCATTGGCCATAGCAATGCTTCGAGAATTTGATTTTCAATCTAATGATATCTGTGCCATAATGTCCGAAAGTTGTATTGAATATACAATCATTATTAATGCTTGTCTATTGTTGAATGTTCCATATACATCGGTAGCACCGGTAATTGGTCCATTTTTTATTGGTGAACGATTGGATCAGACCAAATCGAAATGTTTATTCATTTCTAATGAATATTATTTTAAATTAGAACAAATGTATCGACAATCCAAATGGCAACATCTTCGTGATTATGTCAAGATTGTTGTCATCAATTATGATCAAACATTTGATGATGATAAACAATACAATTCTACAACGATAAAATTTGATGAATTAATTTCAAAATTTAAAAATGAAAAAATATCAACAATACCTTATTATGGTAACAATGAATCATCCATCGATGATTTGGTTACAATAATATTTACATCTGGTTCAACTGGACGACCAAAAGGTGCTTGTCATACACATCGAACATTATTAACAAATGTTATTGAAATGAAATCTGTTGAAACATTAGCGAAATATAGTCATCAAACAATGTTACTTACATTTCCATTGGGACATGTTAGTGGAAATTGTTTACTATTTGTTGCACTTATCTCTCAAACACCGATTGTTTTATTAAATTATAATGAAATGGATCGAATATTTGATGTGATTGAAAAATATCGTTGTGTTCAGGTATTTGGTTCAGCTAATATTGTTAATTTGTTGGCAAAAAGTGATTTGACTAGCCATCGAGATATATCATCGGTAAAAATGGTGCTAACAGCTGGTTGTAAATTATCGACAAGTACGGCAGAAATTTTAGCAAAAAAGCATGGAATTCAAATTTTAGATGGTAAGATAATATCATCATGATTCATAAAAACCTGGAATCACTAAATGATTGATTAATTATTATCAACTAGCTTATGGTTGTACTGAATGTCTTTATATATCAATCGGTGTGAGCAGTCAAAATGTTGGAAAACCATTGCCTTCTTTTCAATTGAAATTGATCGATAATTTAACGAAAAATGAATTGACAAACTCTTCATCGGAACAATTGGGTGAAATTTCTATACGTGGTACAAGCCGTTTTCGTGAATATTATGGCAGACCAGATGAAACAAAAAAAGCTATAGATAATGATGGTTGGTTTCACACTGGTGATGTTGGATTCATCGATAATAATGGCTGTCTTCATATTACCGATCGAATTAAAGAGATTATTAAATATAAAGGTTGGTCAGTGTTTCCAGCGGAAATTGAATTATTTCTCATGACACATGATGATGTTATCGGTGTTGTTGTTGTTGGTGTTAAACACAATGAATACAACGAGATTCCAAGAGCATATGTTACGGTAAAATCAGAATCATCGATAACTGTGGAACAATTACAACAATATGTTAATGGTAATAGAAACAAACAAAGATATATTTATCTCATATTATTGAATGAATGAATGAATCTCTGAATTTTTTTTTTCAATAGATAATCTTGGCTATCATCAACGATTAATTGGTGGTCTTTTGATTGTAGATCAATTACATTATAATCAAATGGGTAAAATTGATCGACGTTTTTATAAAGATTTATGTGCCAATGAAATTCTGGACAATAATGATTGAAATTGAGTTTAATTATTCGAATAAACACTATTTGAAAATTGAATCGAATATTTTTTTTTTTTTTTTATTATTCAGAGAGAATCTGAATCTCGTGACATCTATCGGTATGATGATGTAAACTGTATTCTAGAATATCGTGATATCTGTTCACAATAGATGGCGTTGTCGATTGTGTTTTTTTTCTTTGTTGTTTGATTCGAATCATCATCATTTATTCATGAGCAATTTGCAAATTGTCCAACAAATAAAATTGATTTCAGCATTTTTTAAATCATATGCAAATGCAATTTTAGAAATTAATTTGATCATCATCAAATTGATCGACAAAATGATGTTCAAAACTGTGTTGATTTTCATAATAATCACACCTATCGTGATCATATCATCAACAACAAAAAAATTTGATTGTCCAACGGCCAATTTTGATGCTTCCGTCGCAATCAATGAATGTTTTGCATTATTATTTAATGCAAAATTCATGTGGCTGTTGGATGTCTGTAATTTTCGTCTATCGACAGTATATAATTTTGAGCCTGAATTGCTGAAATGTTTTCATAATGATGGACACAATGGACCGAATCGACAACAACAACAACAACAATCGAAACAATATGAAAATGAACAACGGCAACAATTAATTGCATGGAATCGTTTTCGAAAAATGAAATCAACTATAATGATGTATAATAATTATCCAAATTCAAATTTTATCTGCATGGAATTGGTATGTATGAATTTTATTTTTTGCCTGTGAAAGGTTTTTTGATGATGAAATGTTGAATGTATGTTATATGATCATTTCATTTTTTTTCTCATCTTAATTCATCCAAAATTTCTATCTATGACCATACCGCCCGCGTACATATAAATTCGGATTTATAATTGAATAATGTCTCTTGAAACATTCGGAAAAAAAATTTCGATTCAATTCTGTCATTCAATGGCGAGAGAGAAGAGAAAGAGACGTAGAGAGAAAGAAAAAATCTTTTCACAGGAATAGAAAAAGAAAAATTCAGCCGTCATATCATTCTTATCTGATTATTGAATTATTTTTTCATGACTCAATATTATTGATTTGTTTGATGGTCGAAAAAAAATATTAGTTTTTTTTGTCTTTTTTTTCACATTTTCTCTATGGTGGCCTCATCCGATTTCATTTCAAGAATAATCAAATTTGTTATTTTCCCATCATCATAACTGAACAATATCCAAGTAGTGAATTTTTAAACACAATCGGAAATATGAATTCAATGGAAGATGAAATGTTTAGAAGCTCATGCCAATCGGATGTCATTGATGATGATTTTGATGACAGCATTGTTCATGATGGCCAAAAAATAACAACGACGACAACGACAAGGATAATCGAAATGGCACATATGTATTATCATGTTAGTTCATCAAAAGGAACGAAAATATATCGGTTACATGGGCGAAATTTTTATGCCGATATTGTTTGGACACCATCATCATATGATTGGAATCGTTTAGTTTTTTCAGTAAAATTGTTCAAATTAATGAGTGATCAATACAATAATCATAATCATAATGATGATGATCCACCAATGATGAAACCGTCAACTGAAAGGCCTGATTTTGATCCTGAATATTTATTATTAGAAAATGTTAGCACATTTTTAATCATGCCAACCGATATTGAAGTAATGGTATTTTTTACTACAAATGAATTTTGTATTATAAATTATTTTACTAAAAACGTAAGATAAGCCTTAAGATGAAACTTTTATTTTTATTGGACTAAATTTTTTTTTTTTGTTAAAATAGTGTGGCCGAAGATCGATAAGAGATTTATTTGGTTGTGATGATGATGATGATGATGATGATGGTTATTCGGAATTCAGTGACGGTGATGATAGCGATCGACCACATAACATGACAATTGTCAACATTATGGAAAACGATCAATCGTTTAATGAACCATCAAACAACAACAGTAACACTGCATCAATGACTACGGCCAAAATTCTTTTGGATACCATAAAAAAATCAACATCAAATGAAACAAATAAACAAAATAAACGCAAAATGTCAACATTAACACCGCCTATGCCACTGCCGACAATGGCAACATCAACATCAACCAATTCAATAGTAAAAAACATTTCAACTGCAGATTCTATTGTTAGTAGCAGTAAATTTGTATCAACAAAAACGACAACTGTGATGCCAATTTTTCCATCCAAAATGATGATGATGATGATGATGATAATGGTACTCAACCGAATGAAACCAATTTATCTAGGGCAACAACAGCCGTACAGCGGCCGTCAATAACGACTGACAATTCTATTGTAGAATCACATGAAAAACGAAACAAAAAAGATGAAATTGAACAAATTATCGTGACAACAGAATCGTCATCAGTACTTTGTCACATCATCACTGCTACTAATGATAATAATAACAAAAAGAATAAGAAAATTTCAAAAACCACCAAGATACCACCAATACATAGCATAGCAACCGTTACCTCTAATTATGATTTAGATAGCAACAAACCAACAAATTCTCATGTCATTGAAAATCATGTGGTTAACAAAAGTATTCATCATTCATCGTCAGAAAAGAAACCAAATAAAGAAACTCATGACGATGTTGATGGTGATGTGAATGAAAAGATTTTTTCTCAAGAAATAACATGTGATATTGATTGTGTCATGTTGAAACTAAAAGAAATGAAAAATCTTGATCAAAGAAAACGTGGAATGTCTAAAAATTTTGACAACAACAACGATGATGTTGATGAATATTTATCATCATCAAATAATTATAGTATAAAAAGTATCATCAACATAATGATAAAATCGGATATTATTCATGGACATTTTCTTAAAAATGGATCATTCATTATTGGTCGTATTATTTTTAGAGGTTAGTTTTTTTTGTTTGTTTGTTGATAATTCAACTTAATTGTTTTTTTTGTCCCTTATAAATGTAGCATTAAAATTCGTCATTATAACATCATTGATAATCGGTTCAATTATAATGTTGATCATTTTATCCATACATCGTTTACGTTTTAAAGATTTTCGTGCCGATATTTTTCTTTATATAATGTTGTCATTTTTCACACAAAAACTTAAACAAACATAATGAAATATTGCTTCAAAATACCCGGTTCATGTTTGTTTGTTAGTTTGTCTCAATTTTTATATATTCCATGATGATGATTATGTCTACTACTGCTGTAAAAAAAATTTCACAAATGAATGATTCTTTTCAAATTTCATCATCATTACATGTGTGTGTGTGCCTGTATTTTGTGAATCCAAACTTGTAAACACAAACATTTATTATACTCAAACAAGAAGCATCAAACGAACAAATGTTGTTTCATTTTCATCACATTTTTTTTCTGTGCCAGTATAGTATAGATTTTTTAAATCACTCATTTTACCCCCTCTCTCTCTATCTATCTCTACTTAAAAAAATGTTTAATTACTTGAAACACAAGACACACACACACACAAAAAAACCACATTGTTTTATATATAATGATGATGATGATGATGATGATAATTATGTTGTTGATGATGACAAGTTGAAAAAGAATATTCTTTCATCACAATATGTCTCTATACATGTGTATGTATGTCTCTGTGTTTTCAGCCAATTCATCTTAATTAAATGAATAAATAAATGAATGTCATCATCATTCAGAATAATTTTTTTTTGTACATGATCAACTTGTCCACTGACTTCATTTCAGTGTCTCTCTGTGTGTGTGTTTGTGATGTTTTTTTTTCGATGATATCAGCAACAAAAAAAATCAATCAATCCATATCCATATATAATATATTCGATTATTGTTTTTATATAATACACCATAATAATTATGACAAGGGGATTTTTTTTGTTTCATCTTTATAATTCAAATTTTTGGGTGTTGATAATAATAATAATATACATGATGATGATGCATATTGTCGATTATCATGTTTGTGTGTGTGTGTGTGTGTGTGTGTGTGTGATCGCCACATATATAAAAATTGCTAAATATAAACAACTGACCATCTGGCCATCTGAATAATCTCTATTGGACCCTATTCGTTTGATTGATTTATTTATTCTGACCTTTTTTTTTCATCATCATCATCATCATCATCATCATAAACAGCAGCAGTATCATTAAACATCGATTTTGTCAGCCAAAAAGAAAAAAAAATCAAATGGAACAAATGTAAGAAAATTGAAAAAACAAACAAACAAAATAAACAAATAAAACATTTATGCCATAAATCAGAGAAAATGGGAATCCGACAATGGATTCGATTAGAAATGAATGTTTTGGGTGAAATAATAATAATAATAATAAAAATCCATCTGAACTTTTTTTTTATTTTCTTTCGATTTAGATGGATTGAGACTGTAGTGAAACAATAGTGAAAGAGAGAAAAAAAATTGGCTCCAAATATACTGCCACCATCATCATCATCATCATCATCAATTGGAAAATAGACTAAAAAAAAGAAAGAAATAAACACGCTACAAAATGATCATCAATTCTATTCTCTTTTGACGACGACGATGATGATGATGATCATAATAATCCAGATGTAGTAAAGAAAAAAAAACATGGTGGTTGTATTGTGTTTGTGTGTGTGTAGAACCAATAAAATAGAGTTGACAATTTCAAATCGAATTCTTAAAATTGAATCGAATCGAATCGTTTTGTTTTGTTTTTGTTTTTTGATTCAATTCGATTCGATTTTGGTATTTTTTTTTTTTTTGATCAAAATGAATGTTTAATAGGAAAACAAAACAAAAAAGAGAGGAGAAATAAAATTTAGACGCAAACAATATATGAAAGCGTATGAGAATAAAAAAAATCGAAAATCATCAAAAAACATTAATCAATCAATAATCATAACGGAAGAGATCCAGAGAGAGAGAGAGAGAGAAAATCGTCAAATATGCAAGAAGACCGACAGAGAAAAAAAACCCACAGAACAACTAAACAAAAGAAAAAAGAATGAAAAAAAACATTATATTCAGCCAATTTCATTTCAGTTTCGGCGTTATTTTTTTTTTTTTTTTTTTTTGTTTTGTTTTGTTTTGTTTTGTTTGCCTGTTTGTGTTGTTTGTTTCGGTTTTTTTTCTTCATTACAAAAAATTTCTTCATTGCGTCTTTTTTTTCTTGTTATTCTCTTTATACTCAATGTCTAGCTAGGTCTCGAATTCGATCCGATCCGATCCTATCCGATTCATTCATTCATTGATTGTAGCGTCTTAGTAACTAAGGCTTTCCCCTTATTTTGTGATTCAGTTATATGAATATAGAGTATATACAATTTCTAAAGAATTCCAATCTAAAAGATGAAACAGCACCACTACTATGTTCATGAAACACCACCACTACACAATATAAAACTATACTATAATTTTTTTAGCCATTTATCCGTTCCATTGAATAGCATCATCATCATCATCATACAGAATAATATGATATTCTGTCCACCACCACCACCACCACAACTGTTACTACTACTTCTTGGGGATGAAATTTATTCTACTAGGGTTTGGATATCAAAATCAACCAGCCAGCCAGCCAGACAGCAGCCTTATAAAACTAAATATCGTTTTTGATATCAAAATTCTGAACAGAATTTCAGTGTGTGTGTGTGTATGTGTGTGTGTTTGTACTCATTGTACATCTACAACTTTGGTCTATACACACACACACACACTCAGTATTTCTTGATTTTGTTTTTTTGCAAAAAAGAAAAAATAACAAAAAAAATTTTACATCTATGGACCTTGGTTCATTGCGCACGCTTGTCATCATCATCATCATCATCATCATTACTGATGTTGTTGATGATGATGCTATTGGGGTATAGTATAAATAAATATATGTAGTGATAGGGTATATACGTATGGAATCTATCCATCCATATATATATATATATTCTCAATGTTCAACATTCAATGACAATGGGGTATTGAGAATGAAATTGAGAGAAAGAATTTTTTTTTCATTCTGTAATGTGTGTGTGTGTGTGTAATATAACTATAAATTCTGCATTTTCTCCAGTATGTATGTGTGTGTGATAACGAATATAATATCGTTTTTTTTTCGCTATAAGCGAACATCAATGAAGGTTTTTTCGTTTCGTTTTTTTTTCTTGCATGAAGAAAAAATTCTTTGGATCAATGAAAACATTATGTGTCTGTATGTGTGTGTGTGTGTGTAGACTGTAGTGTTGTTGAATTCATTTGTACGCGCGCGTGTTTGTGTATGTATGTATGTCTTTGACAGTTATTTTCAATCATTTTTTTTTTTTTTTTGGTTTGGTTTGTTTTTTTTTCTTCTTCTTCTTCATATACCAAAAATAAAACACATAGTGCAAGAATTATTTCCACATTCGATTTGATTCCATCTCATTCATTCATTCATTCATCTATTCCATCTACAGTCATCATCGTGTTTTTTGTAACAATATACCAGTGTGTGTGTGTTTGTTTTTAATTCTTGTCTGTCTGTAATTCTGTGTGTGTGTAGTTTTGGATCGGTTTTGTTTTGTTTTTTGTTGTTATTGTTGTTGTTGTTTAAAATGCGTGCAATGACATAACATAAATGCATACAGAATATTCTTATTTTATCAATGCTATGTGTTTGTTGTGTGTGTGTATGTGTGCGGTTACATGCACTTCTTTTTCGATTGTGGTGATCAATAAAATGAATGAATGGTGAAGATGAAAAAAAAATAATTTGTTTCCTCATTCATTGGTTTTATTCTTTTTCTCAACAACAACAACAACAACATCGTCATAGAATACAGAAGATGTAATGAGATTAATTTTTTTTTTGTTGTTGTTCTTTTGTTGAGAAAATTTTCAACACACGCACCAATTGTGTAAGTATTAATTTCATTGATTTTCCAATTGTTGTTGTTGTTGTTGTTGTTGTTTTTATCGTTATTGTTATGGATTTCTAATAATTCGATCACAATAAGCTGGATTTTTCAGAATTCAGAATTTTTTTTCACTCACATTGCGATTAATTTTATATATTTCAAAATCATCATTGATTATCATCATCAATATTTAATGATACATAGAGAAATGATTTGTGTGTGTGTGTTTGATTTTTCAATGTTTGATTCAATTTTCAAAATGTCATCATTTAATTTGATTACTAGTTTTTTTTCATTCTTCCTGAAAAAGTAATTTGAGAAAATATTCGGGAGAAAAAAGGACAAATAATAATAATAATTGAATCAATGTGTGACCCCTTTCGTTCGCACACACACACACACACACGCAATATGTTTGACCACCACACCATTCACATTCGTTCGTTGACAAATTTTTTTTCCAATTCGATTCATCTATATATTTGCCGTTGTGGCCGAAACACATCGATCATCGATTGGTGTATTTACAATCAATAATTTTCATCGTTTTTTTCACTCTTTCTCTCTTGACCTCGAATAGATTGTTGTTCAATATTTATTTATTTATTGATTCAATGATGTTTAAAATTTGAATATTTATTCATTTATTTTCCAACACGATTCTTGTGATTCTGAATTAATTGTTTTATTTCGGCCACATGTTTTTTTCGTTTTGTTTTGTTTTTTTTTTTTGAATTCACATTGAATTTTTTTCTTTATAATCAATGTCGATTGACGATTATTATTATTATTGAATGCCAGAATGCCAGAATTTTGTCTGTTTCACAATGTTGGATACAATTGCAATGACAGTAAAGTTAAAAGTGGTGGAATTTTTTTTTCTCTTCTGTTCTTTTTTTTTACCATAGACAAATTGATTGATTTCTACTTATATAAACATTATTTAATCCATCAGAGAGTAAAAGAGAGTGAGAGACTAGATATATGAATGAAGAATAGCTGTCTCTCTGTTTGTGTGT